CCACTGCAGTACCTTCTGCCGCCTTGTTGAACTATACCTCCGTCTGGGGACCTTGGTTGCCTGGCAGTCTCAGGCTTAGGGCGGGAGGGACCAATGCTCAGAAAAGAACTCCTGGCATGTTAAGCATTCTACTGGCATGCAGTACCAGCTGAGAGCACTTCCAAGAAAGGGCCCTTCTCAAAAGTTTGCCCTGGCGGAGGGTCTTGTGAAGACCGCGCTTCTTGCTGGCCCAAGGTGGGGTCTCTCCCTAGGCAAAGGCCTCCTACCCATCCTGGATGCCTCCCCTCTCCCTCATCACCCCATACACACACACACACCCCTGGCTAAGGCCAGCACCTCATCCTCAGCCCCCCTTCCTCCGAGCCCTCAGTGTCCAGGAGCTCCTCCGCTTCCGCTGGACTTCTCCACAACCCTCGTTCCCCCAGGGCCCTTTCTCCCCAACCCCACTGTCCCGGTGAAATCTGCCTCTCTCTAAACCTCTTCATGCTGCGTGCTCCCTCAAAGGCAGCCACACAGCTCAGCCACCTCCGCTGGTAAAAGCATCCGCGGGACTGCCCTACAAATGACTTGGGGCTCCTTTTCTGGGAGCGAGAGGAGACGGCCCTGTCCCACATTTGGGGTGCTAAGCAGTGGAAGTCTGTCTGCCGGGATGGTGCAGACCTGGCCAAGGCATTTGGAGGTTTCCACACTGAACAAACGCCTACAGAGCACGTGAAATCCCCACCCTCACCCCCCACCCCTGAGACCTGGCGGCTTTGCCCGAGGTACCTTTCCCCTCCTGCGTCCAAGTGCTGCTTTTCGAACTCCCAGTTTTTGTTAGGGGCATAATCCCATTCTACCTCGTCAGCAGCGATGTAAAAGGTTCTTATCATCCCGTATGGCTGCTCAGAAAGGTCCTTATTGTCGCAGCTGTTGACTTCGTAGATCTGATTCATGCCTCTCATGAAGTGGGGCATCGTGGAACAAAACACCCTGAAAATGCCTGAAAAAGAAATGGCCTGGCTTGGTGGGGGGTAGGGGTGGGGGGTAGGGGTGGCGTTAAAGCTTTCTGGGTTGTATTTCCCAAGATAAACAACCAGTGAGGTGGATTTCTTTAAATCACAATTTTATAGTGTGCGTGTGTGTTAGAAATTGGCATTCTATGATGCTCACCTTCCCGACACAACCGCTGAAGACAAAGCGGGTGAATAAGCA